GTGCCCTGCCGCACCGCCCCCCCCACTGCATCTCCGGATCCTCCTGCTGCATCCCCACATCCTCCCGCTGCCTTCCCCTGCATCCACCCGTCGCACCCCTGCATCCTCCTGCTGCATCCCTGCGTCTTCCCACTGCATCCTGCTGCATTTCCGTGACCCACCCCCCCACATCTCTGCATCCCCCTGCCACATCCCTCCATGTCCCTGGCCATGTCCCCACCAGAATGGGATGTCCTCACCACAGTGTCCCCTGTGCCACCATTGTGGCTCCCCCCCCCTCACTCACCGGGTCCTCACCGCTGTCCGCTGACTCCGTGGGCCCCGACTCGCCCTCCGAGTCAGAGTAGAAAGGTTTCTCCACCTTCTCCTTCCTCTTCTCCCGGCTGGTGCACTTGGTCCACTCAGGAACCTGCTGGCACAGGGTTGATGGAGCAGGGCCATCACCCATGGATGGCGGTGCTCAGACAGCAGCCCTTTCCCCCCTTCTGTCCCCAGGCGGGTGTGTGGACACCAGAGAGGGGACATGGGGCAGCTGAGCAGCACCCGGGCACCTTCTGGGCCTCTCCCAAGACCCCAAGGCAATGCCCCCACCTCGGCCCCCTCATGCATCCCAGCACTTGGGCATGGTCCACGCACCTCCACGTTCCTCACAGAGGGGTCGGGAGCCTCGTCTGGCCAGTCGGGCAGCTCCTGGTAGCCCACAGCTTTGGCATTGAGCAGGTGGGACAGGGAGCCCAGCTGGAAATGGTCCCGATCTACAGCAGGGTGAGAGGTGGCAGCAGCTCGGGGACAGCCATGCAGCACTGTGGTGACAACTGGCCCCGTGTCCCCATGCACTGTGACCAAGGGTGGGTACCTTTGAAGGAGGACTCCAAGATGGGAGCGGGTTTTTGGGCCAGGAAGAGCTTCTTGGCGTACTTGTTGAGTGCGCCGCTCTTCTCGGTGGGAACGATGAGCTGGCGGATGAAGCGAGCTCGGTCGCGGATGTCGTAATTCTGGTCATACTTGGCCAAGTTGAGGACGTACTGGGTCAGCAGCTTGCTCTGCACCAGGGGACAGGCTCAGGGCCAGCCTCTGCCACCCCGGTGGGGAAACTGAGGCACGCTGTTAGGCCACATCCCTGGTACCTGCTTGGAGTTGGTCAGGTAGAGCTTGGCTGCCAGGTTGATGACCTGCAGCTTGACGATGTCCTCCTCGTTGGTGAAGGACTTGGCCATCTTGCGCAGCACGTCAGGTGCAATCTTGGGCACATGCTCGCAGTACTCGCCGATGAGCCACAAGATGCTGGCCCGTGCCATCGGCACCTGCAAAATGCCCCCAGGCACGTGGCACCGCTGCCACTCCCCCCATCCTGCAGGCCGTGCAACGCCCCGACCCACCTGGATGTTGTCGGTGAGCTTGGCCATGTGCTTGATGATCTCGCTGTGCTGGGCCGGCTGCATCTGCAGCAGCTTTTTGATGACCACCACGGACTCGGCCACCACCAGCTCTGCGGGCAGAGACCTGGCCTCAGCGGGGTCTCGCCCCGAGGGCGGATAGATCCTCCACTTCACCCCCACTGCGTGAACTCACCATCCCGGTTGGAGAGGAGCTGGACCAGGCCGTTGAGGCAGGGTGGCGGGCCCCTCCCTCTCCCGATGGCTTGGATGGTGGCTGCCACGAAGTCCTTGTCCATGCTGCGGATGTAGGTCTGCACAGGCATGAAGGGGACATACGACATGTCACCCACATGCCAGCGCCGGGCATTCTGCCACATGGTGCTCACACAGTGGGGGTCTCTGGAGCCACCCATGGGGTTGGCATGGCCTCAGCCCACTCCTCTTGGTGAGGCTCCCTCCATCCCCTCCATGGTGGTGTTTTGACACCCAGAGCCGTGCCAAGGTGGCAACCCAGTGGCCTCAGAATGGCTGTGGCATACCTGGAACTCCCGCAGGATGGTGGAGATGTTGGTCTCGTTGGCCAGGTTGGTGAGGACCTCCAGCTGTGGGAAGAAGGAAGAGGTGGGCAGCACAGGGGCATGGTGCTGGGGCACTGGCTCCTTGCTGTCCTCCTGTCCCCAGGGAATGGCAGACAGCTGCCCCACAGGGAAGGGCCCCATGAAGACCCAAAGCCATCAGTGATGGGTCCTGCCAAGCATTTTCAGCTCACCTTAAGGATCTTGATCTGTGTGGGGTCTGTGGAACGGATGTAGAAGCTCTTCAAGTAGGGCTCAAACATCCCCTGTGTGCAGAGCAAGCAGCGTCAGTGCCATCCCTGTACCCTCCTTGGTCTCCCACGGGCAGCTGGCCCTGGCGACCAGCTGCTGACCAGCCCTCGCTCCGCTCCTGAGTTAACAGGGCCAACCCCTCCCATGCAGAGTTCAAGACTCACCCGCCGCTTGATTGACATGGTAGCAACATTCTGCAGCACAACGTACTGCACCTCGCTGTAGGGACAAAGAGGGGACCACCATCAGCAGGGTGGGGCTGGAGCCCTCCAGCACAGCCCTGTGAAGATGGGGCAGGACCCACCAGCCCGCTGGTGACACCACAGTGCTGCCACCCCTTGTCTGAGGTGACAAAGAAGCCCTCTTTTTGGGCAATTCACCCCAACCCAATGTCCCTTTGGGCATAGGCTTTTTGGGGGTCTCTCCCAGGGTCTTAGGACCCCTCCCAGGGGTCCCACCAATGGGAGTGGAGGGGTAGGGGACCACCGCAACCTGGGTGCCGCAGACCTGTGACTCCGCAGAAGCCGCACCAGCGCCTTAGCGATGACACCAACCTCTGCCTTGGGTGCCAGGTGGAAGTAGAGCTGTGCCACTGCCATCACCACCTGTGGGGAGACACCAAGTGTCACCTCTCTGGCACGGGGACACCCCAGGGGATGGCTGTGACCCCCAGTGTCCCAGCCGACAGCACCCAGAGGAGGCACCCAGCCCTGAGTGTCCCTCAAGCACCCTGGTGGCTCCTTGGCTGGTGGGGACGTCACAGGCCCGGGCTGATGGACACCACCAGTGGCCTCAGGGGATGGACAGGGCTGGAGCAGGGGGGGCTCACCGCAGCGTTGCGGCTCTGCAGCAGGGGCTTGGTGTTGCGCAGGAGCAGGCGGTGGTCGGGGTCCATGACGTAGGGCTTGCGCTTTGCCAGCGAGGCTGCCTCCGCCTTGGCGTCCTTGGTGTCCTCCTCCTCAGAGCCATAGAAAGCCTTCTCGGTACTCTCCTCCAGCAGGGACTCCTGCCGGTAGGTGGGACACCTCGCACCCCAGCACGGAACCCTCTTTCAACCCACCTCCCTGGCCCAGAACAGGGCTCCCAGGGCACCCCAAGGGACCCGTGCTCACGTTCTGGTTGGGGCTGAGGAACTGGGTGCGTGCGTAGCGGGTCAGCATGTTGATGATGACCACCTGCCCCCACTCCTCCACATCGATGAGCAGGTTGCAGAGCTTGCGGTAGTTCTTGTGGATGAGGTCGATGCGCTCTGGGCAGACCTCCTCGAATGCCATCACCACGCTGCCAGCCACCAGCTGGGGAGGGAGAGCCTGGGGTGACTCACCAGGGTGGTGGCATCTCCATGAAGGTGCCAGTTCGGTGGGAATGGTGGCATCCCCAGGAGGATGCTGTTTTGGTGGGGATGGTGGCATCTCCATGAAGATGCTGGTTTGGTGGGGAGAGCAGCATCACTCCAAGGATGGCTGCTGTGCATGGATGGCTGCATCCCCACAAGGACACCTATTTGGTGGGAACATCTGCATCCCCACGAGGAGACCGGGTCAGCGGGGACAGTGATGTCCCCAGATTTAGGGGCAGGGGAGACGCAGTGGCCCACTCACCGTGGTCTTGTCTGCCAGCAACTTCTCAATCACTTCAATGAGCTGGTCCTTCTGGTCTGAGTCAAGGCTGCAAGGGAAGAGCAGGGCAGGTGCAGCTGGACAAAACTCCCCTCCTCTCTGCCTGCCCCTGCCTGCACCAAGCAGCTGAGACCCCAGCACCAGACCCTCAAAACTTAGCAGCTGACCCCCCATTACCTGTACAGCTTGGGGATGGCATGGGCGGCCGTCTTGCGCACATACGGGGACATATCCGAGGCAGCCTCCTTGATGGCCAACATCATGATGGGCACGATGATGGGCACACGGATACTGGAGAGGACCCGCAGGGCGCTGGCACGGATCAGCTGGTTGGGGTCCTGTGGGGATATGCAGAGGGCTGCAGCATGGTGTGGGGGGGCTCACTGCCCCCCAGATCCTGCCCTGGGTTGCCAAACCAGCCCACCTTGAGTCCTCGTTGGAAGGTGGAGATGGAGAGCAGGGCCAGATCCTGCTGCTCCTCTGCGTAGCGCACCAGGTAGACGTACACCAGCTTCTTCACCTATGGGGTGAAGATGGTGGGGTCACCTCAGAGCCTCCCAAAATCCATCCCATCTCCAAAACTCTCCTGCAGAGGAGGCACCAGACCCTAGGGACACCCATGGGGGCCACCAGGGCCACCTAAGACCTTCCTTACCTCAATATTCTTGCAGGCAACATTTTTCACCACGGCTGGGAAGAGGTCAGAGGCATTTTTCCCTCGGGCAATCATCTAAGGGGTAAAGGAGCCGTGTGACACCGGGCAGCCGGCACGGCACGGCATGGCACGGCTTGGCACCAGCAGCAGTCCTTTTTTCCCACCGCCACAATCCTCTTCATGGCCTCCAGCTTGAGCGAATCCTTGTTGCTGTCGAGCATCTCCTTGAGGTCATCATGCCTGCAACGCACCAGGGAAAAAAAATCCCATTTTCCAGTTTTAGCTATTTTGAGTAGGGTTTTTTTGCTCCCAGCCTGCCATCAGCCTGGTAACCCGATGCTCCGCCATGGAATATTTATGGGGACAGGAGTTGGGTTACAGTTAGGTGAAAGAGTAGCTGGAGGGACTGATGCAGTGCTGGCACCTAGCTCTGTCCCCGTCCCGGGTGCTGGGACAAGGACCCCGTCCCAGCCTGGCTGTGGTTGTCACCCTAGGATGTCCCCACATCACTTCTGAGGGAGCAGGTGCCCACCATGGGCTCCATCCCAGCCACCAGCCCAGCTTGGCTGGGTGTCCCTTGTCCCCTCATGGGCATGGTGGCATGGATATGCCAGCGCGCCCCAATGCAGACCCCTTCCCCGGTCCCTTCCCGGGGGTGGGAAAACCCCACCAGCCTTTTCTGAGGCTCATTGTCACCACTGTCCACTTTTCTAAGGGACATCTGTCCCCACCAAACTGGGGGACCTGCAAAGGCTCCGTCTACCCACGCCAGCTGGGGGTGGCACCCACGGGACAATGACTGGCCAGAGCCACTGTTGCTGGAGAGCCCCAGGGGCCCTCCTTGGGGAGGTCTTACCGTGGCGGTGGCCCGGTGCCAG